TAGTTTTAGTAAAGGAAACATGGTTCACAAGCGAATCAGTCCCACATCTGGATTTTTTCAATGTGTTTGGTAAAAATAGAGAGGGTTATCACAGAGGAGTCGCAATTTATGTTAGCAAAGACCTACCATCTGTTGAAATTGATTATAAAGAATTAACAGACACAAACTGCGAGCAAATTTGGCGTTCAGTAAATATAAACAATGAAAACATTCTAATAGGGTGTTTGTATCTACCACTGTCTACCTCAAGATATACAAATGATCTATCAACTGATACTGCATTTAGAAGAAGCATTAGCAAGGCAAAGCTGTTTGTTGACACTAAAAAATTCAGCTCAATATTCATCGGCGGTGACTTTAACTTTCCAAATGTGAAATAGTTTAATGATGGTATTGTATGTGTAACTGGCCCTTAAAATAACCCATCTTTAAAATTCATTGATATACCCATCAACAGTTCCTTCACCCAACTTGTTGACTTTCCCACATTCATACAAGCAAATGGACAATGTAAAACCACTCTTGACTGTGATATGTGTTGATGTAAATCGAATAAAAAATCTACAATCAGACTAAACAAGCTCACTTAGTAACCAAATTTCTAGTTGCCCAAAAACGTGGCCACACCTTTTTTAACAAGAAATTTAATTACTACAAAGGCAACTACAAATCAATAAAAAAAGAGCTGGAAAAAATCAACTGAGAAAACAGCCTTGATAACTCAACCGCAAATGAAAGCTATGATAAATTACTTAACTTGTACTATAATCTATGTGAAAAATTCATTCCAATAAAAAGAATAAATCTAACAACTAAAGGAGTGCCATGGGTGACCAATAAAAATTATCTCAACTTAAGACAACACTGTGGAAAAAAAACATAGCCTCAAAATGAAAAAAGCCAAACTTGTAAAAGAATACCGCAATGCAAGTAGAGATATAAGAAAAGCATAAAAAAAAAGCAAGAAAAAACTACCAGTTCAATTTAGCAAATGACAAAAAAAAATTCCCAAAAAACTCTTTTTATATATAAACAGCAAATTAAAAATATCTACTTCAATACAAGCCCTCAAATCTGACTGCAGTGAACTAAAAAACAGTAAAAAAAAATATAGCCAATATATTAAATCACCAATTCGAGTCTGTCTTTAGTAAAAAATATGACTTACAAATTAGCACACTCTACCAAATCGAGGAACAAATGGAGGATAGCCAACATAAACATCATGGCAGACAAAGTAGAAAGTTTATTACTTCAAATTAATGGAAACAAATGGCAAGAAGCAGATAACGTACATCCATAACAACCTTTTTTTGTAGCGAACAACATTTTTTTGTCTCAAATAAATCATGGGAAAAAAAAAAACCTCTGGAAAAAATACCACTAGATATCGTATTTCTTGACTTTTCACCAATTCTATTTGCCATCTTCATTAAAGACCTCCCAGACAACATTAACTCTTGCTGCAAAATGTTTGCGGGCGACACCAAATTAATAGCTCTGGCCAGGAAACGATGAGCTTTACACTAAAAGCCTGCAAGATGACATCAACAAGATAAGTGATCGGTGCTGCACTTGGCAAATGCAACTAAATCTTAGTAAATCGAAAGTGATACACATTGGACGAGCAAATAAATCAGCGACATACACTATGCTAGATCCACTATCAGGCGCTAAAAGAGATCAAACAACAACAATGACAGAAATAGACCTTGGAGTCACAATGAGTCAAGATCTTAAGACAGCAAATCAAGTCTTTCTGATGCTAAACTCCATTATTCTCAGTTCACTAAATCTCGCATCTTATCGCAGAAGTTAGGCTCTAAAGACTTTTGGAAAATCTTCAACAGCATTGTTAACAAGGGTAGATCTAACATTCCATCTCTCATTCATGGGACTGATCTTGTTACCTCTCCCAGGGATAAGGCAGAAATGTTTGCAAAGAACTTCTCTTCTAATTCCACTCTTGAATCTTATGGACATTCTCTTTCTTCCATTCCAGTCAAACAGGTTGACCCATTGTTAGACATTCAAATCACTCCGGCTTCTGTTGCTAAAGTCATATCTCAATTAAACTTGTCTACAGCTTGTGGTCCAGACAACATTCCTGTCACAGTCTTGCAGAATTGTTCTCCAGAACTTTCTTCAATTCTCTCTAAACTATTTAACAAGTGTTTGACTGAGTCTTGTTTTCCTGCTTGTTGGAAAATGGCATCTGTGGTTCCAATATTCAAAAACTCTGGAGAAAATTCTGACCCCTCCAATTATCGTCCGATCAGTCTTCTTTCTGTTATTAGCAAGGTCTTTGAGTCTTTGATCAACAAATTCCTCACATCTCATCTTGAGTCAAATAAACTGCTGTCAGACAATCAATACGGTTTTCGATCCTCTCGCTCTACGGCCGACTTGCTAACTGCTGTAACTGAAAGATTTTATCATGCATTAGATGGAGGCGGTGAGGCTAGGGCTATTGCTCTCGACATATCTAAAGCTTTCGACAAAGTTTGGCATGCTGGTCTTCTCCATAAGCTTGCTTCATATGGTGTTTCTGGGAAAGTTTTTGAGATTATCAAATCATTTCTTTCTGACCGGTTTATTAAAGTCATCCTTGAAGGCCAACACTCTTCTTTATTTCCATTAACTTCTGGGGTTCCCCAAGGTTCCATCCTGGGCCCTGTTTTGTTTCTTATCTACATAAACGATCTTCCTGACAACCTTTCATCTAAAGTAGCTCTTTTTGCTGATGACTCAATTTTATACTCCTGTCTTGACAA